ATATTAAAAAAATGATAGTTAAATGTGAAATCTCAATTTTAAATAAAATTTAAATAAATAATATCTTTATACTTGGTAAATATTTAATTGATATTAAACATTCAAACGAATGATTTATTCAAATTTAGTACATTTTTTTCAGTATACAATTTTTCCTTGAGTAAGATTTGTTTACAATTCATTATTTCATTGCATTCCTTGCCTCAAAATATGATGCTGTTTTTCAGTGTCGTTACAGTGGCTTTCTTCCAAGGTTCTGATGTTTTTGTGAAAACATCAAACTCCAGAGGAAAACTCTCCGATAGCGGGAGTATCGAGATAAATACCTGTGTTCACAGATAAGGCAGCTTTGCAAATGGCCGCAAGTCGGGAAAATGATTATTTTGCAACTGTTGGAAATTTTCTTCGCTGACAGGTTTATTCCCTTGGATCTCAAAGTATAATTCAATCTATGCAGGAAAACTTCCAACACTTGCAAAATAAATATTCTGCCGAATGCGGCCAATGTTATAAAATTCTTTAATTTGAATTGGTCTTGCTCTTAGTTCCTCACTGGATCTAAATGTAATGAACCAATCATATCAAAGAATTTTACAACAGTTGCAAAGCTGCTTTTTCTCTGTTGGACGCAGCTATTCATATTAAGGAATCTTACAACAGCCACAGAGATATGCCAAATGCAGCCACTTGAAAAAGAACTGCGTCTGTACTCCGATTCTATAACTCTTAACGACAATTCGGTATAGTTATATCATCGTTGCGCAACTTTTTTATTTGGTACGATATTTGCGCAACGATAATATAATTGATACACTATCGTTAAGAATTACAAGCTTCCTACAATAATAAGCCTTTACCCAAGATTACAAGATTCGAATTTTTAACCGTAAGAAAATGACCAATGATTTATTAGCCAAATGTAAGACTGATTAATCAATTTCTTACGATTTCAAACTTGAAGCTTAGGTGCAATGGCTCATCGTAGAAAGCCTGGCGACGCGACTCTCCAACTCCGTCGCAGGATAACCTCACTTTTCGAACGTCGGGCGGCGAGAAATAATAGCTCCCAAAAGCCGCAAAAAGCCGCGTCGTGTCAGGGCAGGGTGAGTTTTCATGGAGGAAGGGCCGCGCGCGTAAACCCAGCGACACACGATGCATATTTTCCTGCTTGGATTGCTCGCGTAGGAAATTACTAGAAATTCTGCGTTCCGTGTATGGTGCAATTCTAGTGATTTACTAAAACGCAATTAATAATATATCAGAAAAACGTGCCGGAGGCTGAACGGACGAAATGTGAATCGCGTCGGACATCATCAACGAGAAAACCTGTATCATGGAAGATAGGGGAAGGAGGGAAGGGGGAAGACGAAAGGTGAGCTGGCGTAACGGGTTACGGCGGGCGCGTAGGGAACGTAAAAGGAGCGACGGTGAGGGAGCGCGAAAATCAATAGCGAGCGACGAGATGTATCGCCGTTAACGTTTGATCGCCGGATAGAAACGCATCGTGTGTGTGTGAAAGAGAGAGAGAGAGAGAGAGAGAGAAGGGAGGAGCAGAGATAAAAGATCTGTATTCTTATTCCTGAACTGGAATGCAAGTCCATGACTTCCTTTCTCGGTTTCGCCAAAATATCAAACATCTATATCTATTTCAGTTGAAGTTCTAAAAGTGTACGCTAGTACAGAAAACGGACCTATAGACCGTCAGGAACACACGGTACGCACGCGTTACGAGAAACCCGGCAGCGCCCTTAAGATGAGTATCGGGTGACCCGTATGGATTATGCAAAAGGAGCGGTCGGGCGTTCGTGCTCGCTCGCTTGCTCCGGTCTCGTATTTCGTGCTCCGATAGGTATCTATCTACATCCGCGATCGAAGGAGAGGAAAGATCGCGGCGTGTGATAACGACAACGACGACGGCGGCGACGTCGCCGCCACTGCACCGTCTTTCGATTCGTTCGAAATCACGCCGAGGTCGCGAGGAACGAGGCGTAGATGCATCATCGATCGAGAAAATGACGCGAAAGATCGGATATATATCTCTCGATAACCGGAGAAAATAGAAAAATTTAAAACTGTTCAGTTCTCGTCTGTACTTTGCACCTCTCTCTCTCTCTCTCTCTCTCTCTCTCTCTCTCTCTAGCGCGCGCGATTTCTTCTCCCCTCAATTTAAAGATGTTGGTGATTAATGTGTATATACGTGACTGCGTTCGGTTTTGATGCTGACACGCTTCAAGCGCTTACAATGGCTGCGTTAAAATAATAATCTTTAATACAATTGTTTTTATCTTCAACTCCTCATTGAATCTAATCTAAATATAAATAAATCGTATTAAAAGCTGCATTCAGCAGAAAAAGCAACGTCGCTCTGCTGAGCGTAATTAATCATTTTATCTTTATCATTCATTAGACGTAAAATAAGGATGAAAGTGCCGAAAGCGATCAAAACCGAAGCTCATAAGTACAAGACGGTTTGATCGACAAGTGTAGAAAGTGCAGCAGCGAGCGGATCGTGGGACTTGGCGGCGGCGTTTCAATCTCGGGCGCGAAGGCCGTGAATTTAGCAGCGTACGGACAGACGGATGGACGAGCAACGAGAAGATAACTGTCGCGCGGCGCTCGTCGATTATCTCGACGAGTCCAAGAGGGCAACGCGATTGCGAGGGATCCAACGGCCAACGTCAAATCGGCTGAACAATGCGGCGGGCAAGAATCGAGGATGGGCGAGCGAAATTAGCCGTTTTTCGTAACGAACCGTTGCCTACTTGTTTTGTTCCGCGTTAACGTACGCCTGACTAACCGGTCGTAAACGCGATAATTCCGCTCCGCTGAAACACTTCGCGGCGTCAGGTCGCAAAACGCGAGAGCGCTCTCTCTCTCTCTCTCTCTCTCTCTCCTCAAAGTATAGAAATATCCGCCGGCAAACGACGTGAGGGAAAAAAAGTATCGAGGCATTTTAGTCAGTCTCTCATGTCTATCCTTCTCGCTCCGCATACGTATCTCTCTTTCTCTCTCTCTCTCTCTCTCTCACGGCGATGATCGATCGGCCGTTACTTCCGCTCGCGCGGATGCAGATTTTCCTCGTTGCTGCGGAAGAAACTCGGCAAAGAGCACGGAGAAGTATAGACGGCCATGCCGGATCGATAATCGCGGAGAGTCGGGGCAGGCAGTCTCCGGGGCGGCATGAGCGAAGTACGCTTCGACCGACGAAGGCTGACAATGAACGGTCGACGAAGAGAGGGAGACGGATGTATCGATAGCGAGAAGAAAGAGAGAGAGAGAGAGAGAGAGAGAGAGAGAGAGAGAGAATGAAACTCCCGCCGATCCTTCCAGAAAAGGAAATCCGTCCTGCCGGCGGATGAGAAAGATGGAGTGCATGGAGACCGAGGGCGAGTTCAAATGCGTAATCTCGTAAATTGCGCATCTCTTAACGGTTTACGCTCGTCGCACGTGTGCTCGGCGGCGACGCGTCAATGCGGCGAGAGACCGAGAGCCCTCGCGGGCACGGCTCTCGGACGAACCAGACACGGCAACGACGACGACGACGACAATGCTAATGACGGTGACGACGAAATTTGCGCGTAGGGAGAAATAAAGCACGTAACGTCACGCGCGACGGTAATTTTCTCGAAACTTCTCGCGGCACAGACGACGGGATGGAGGTACTTACCATCTTGTGAGTCCTCTTTTTTCGTTCCTTTTCACGTTCCGGTCACGCACGAGAAGGCTCAGCCCGCGTTAACACACGCGTTTATCCCGCACACTGGACAACAAGAAGTGTATTTAATCACAAAAGCTCCAGGGATACGTCGGTTGATCGGTCGGTAAGCTCGTGCTAAATTAAAACGGCTCGCTGTTCGGGCCGGGAAGAGAGAGAAGACTCAACTTCGTTAACCGTACACGAGCAGACACGCAATAACGGCGGAACACCAAGTCCGGCGAGAAACGCACTCGGAACAGTAATGGAGTCCACCGTGTCTTTCTCGGTCTGCGAGGCTCTCTCTGTGGGCCGCCGCTGGTTCCGCAGTCCGGATATCACTACGCCGTCCCCTTACGGGCTGCACGACGGCCAATCGTGGGGCGCCGCCACGCCGGCGGGGCGCGCCATCCACCCGGCGGGGAGCAGGCGGTTGGTACGCGCAACGGCCGCCTTACCTCGCCTACGCGGTCGCGAGCTAGATCCCAAGCGTACGGCGCGCCACGACGGGCTTCCCCGTTGCCGTTTCTTTCTTTCCGCCTTCCGCCGAAAGCTTGCGGAAAAAAAGGCTCGTGTGGCGGTTTTTAATCGTTTCTCGGACGGATACGTGCGAGGAAGAGAGAGAGAGAGA